TTTTGAGACAGAGTCTCACTCTATCCCCCAGGCTGGAGTGCAGTGGAGCAGTCTCTGCTCACTGCAAACTCTGCCTCCCGGGTTCAAGTGAGTCTTCTGCCTCAGCCTCCTGAGTAGCTGGGGTTACAAGCGCCTGCCACCGCCTGGCTAATTTTTGTATTTTGAGTAGAGATGGGGTTTTGCCGTGTTGGCCAGGCTGGCCTTGAACTCCTGACCTCAGGTGATCCAGCCGCCTCGGCCTCCCAAAGTGCTGGGATTACAAGAGTGTGCCACCATGCCCGGCCCAATATATGCTTACTTTTAGCAACATTAAATAACAAGGTGTAGTAGTGGATCCAAGGGCAGGTCAGGTAATGATTTAATTGAAGATCATGAGCAGTATTCCCAGACATGTGCAGCAACTGTGATCTGATATGAAAAGATGGGTGACTTCTGTTAGTGACTGCTTTGTTGCCTGCATTCATAACTAAAGGAAATGCTAAATATCAGTTTGTGGTTATTCTTTCTTTTTTTTGAGATGGAGTCTCACTCTGTCACCCAGGTGGAGTGCAGTGGTGCAATCTGGGCTCATTGCAACCTCTACCTCCTGAGTTCAAGTGATTTTCCTGCCTCAGCCTCCCAAGTAGCTGGGACCATAGGTGCGCATCACTATGCCTGCCTAAATTTTGATTTTTAGTAGAGATGGGATTTTACCATGTTGGCCAGGCTAGTCCCTAACTCCTGACCTCAGGTGATTCGCCTACCTCGGCCTCCCAAAGTGCCGAGATTACAGATGTGAGCCACCTGGCCTGGCCAGTTTGTGGTTATTGAAAATAAAAATAAAACATTTTTCTTGTGTAAAGACTGAATAATAACCCTTTTGTTTGTGTGTTTGGTTTTTTTTTGAGACACAGTCTCACTCTGTCACCCAGGTTGGAGCCCAGTGGCTTGATCGTAGCCCACGGAACCTCTGTTTCCCGGGTTCAACTGACTCTCGTCCCTCAGTTTCCTGAGTAGTTGGGATTACAGACACTAGCCACCACACCTGGCTAATTTTTTTTTTTTTTTTTTTTGAGACGGAGTTTCACTCATGTTACCCAGGCTGGAGTGCAATGGCGCGATCTCGGCTCACCGCAACCTCCGCCTCCTGAGTTCAGGCAATTCTCCTGCCTCAGCCTCCTGAGTAGCTGGGACTACAGACACGCGCCACCATGCCCAGCTAATTTTTTTTGTAGTTTTAGTAGAGACAGGGTTTCACCATATTGACCAGGATGGTCTCGATCTCTTGACCTTGTGATCCACCCGCCTCAGCCTCCCAAAGTGCTGGGATTACAGGCTTGAGCCACCGCGCCCGGCCCTATTTTTGTATTTTTAGTAAAGATGGGGTTTCACCATCTGTGGCCAGGCTGGTCTCAAACTTCTGTCCTCAGGTGATCCACCTGCCTAGGGCTCCCAAAGTGCCAGGATTAAAGGATTACAGGCATGGCCAAGAACACTTCTGTTAAATTGGGACCTGCTTATCCTCCTTTATTTGTGACATCAGACTAACTGCATTACATTCTAAAGGTCTGGAAAATATATTCCTACAAAACAATTCCTGTCAAAGACTTTCCTGTCTATTTGGGTTTGATTGGCATTTCCATGAGAATGGATCCCAAGGGTCTCTCCGTCTCCTATCTGTCCTGTATGTAGGGTTCCCAGGAAGCTGACTTTGACTATGCTGGAGATTGGGAGACAGGTTATTTCATTAGGGTGCTCCTCAGGTCCACACCTGTGGGAGGGTGGGAAATGAGGAAGGACTGAGCAGAGGGAGAAGCTGAGAGCAGCAAGGCAGTCCCAGCAAAGGTCTCCGCCAGCCCCTGGTGGAGCTTAGAAGCTGGGACAGCCTTTCAGAGTCGTCTCAAGCCTTGAGAGGACTTGGTCCCTGTGCCCTTGCATGGATCAGTGAGTCAGGGAGTCAGTGGATAAGAGCTATCCTGGTTGGAGGTGCACCCTGGGGTGAGGCAGTTTTTTCCCTGGAAGCAACCCTCAAAGAGGGCTGACAGTGGAGGGACACATTTCCAGGAACTGAAGAGGGATCCGGCGACACATCGCAGTGTCCACCCCTATCTACAGCTGTGCAGATGCTCTTGGCACATTGATGGAAGAAGGTGAATTGATACGAAGTGTAGGCACCAATGGATGGTCTTCACCATTCTAGGCATTAGGAAAATGGAAGAGACACCCACCAAGAAAGAAAACACTTGTTGGTTGTGTATATCTCTATATGTTAGAGACTTGCTAGTTTTATATGATTTAATCCTCGAAACAATCCTCTCTTTCTTCAGATGAAGAAACAATAATAGTATCAATATTAGTGATACCCAAGGGCATGTGACCAGTTAAATGCCAAAACTTGAATGGCAACCCAAGTCTGTGTCTGACTCATAGTGCTTTCAAGCATCAAACCCATTGCTATGAGTTGGAGTAGTGAGGGAAGGCTTCACAGAGGAGGTGACATTTAAGATTTCAAAGACAGGTCCAATTGGAGGAGGTGGACAGGAAATGGAGAGGCCATTCCAGATGTATTGCAGGAGCAAATGCATGAGGATGGGGAGAAGTCTGCCATATACTGGAAAAACGATGAGTATGATCTGAAGAAAGCAGGTATTTGTATTGGAATAGGAGGTTTCTGTCTGGATAGGTCGGTGGCAGGGAGGGCAGAAGATAGGATGCATCAGTTAGCTTTAGCTGTGTAACAAACAGCCTTGACGGGGTGCAGTGGCTCACACCTATAATCCCAGCACTTTGGGAGGCCAAGGTGGGAGGACTGCTTGAGACCAGGAGTTCGAGACCAGCCTTGGTGACACAGTGAGACCCTGTCTCTATAAAAAAATTTGTTTTAAAGAAACCAACCTCAAAAACCTGTGGCATGTAATATTAAGCGTTTATTGCTCACATGTCTGCAATCAGCTGGTAGTGGGCTGATCTAGGGTGGCTTTGACCAGGTATTTGGGATGATTTTGTTCTGCTCCACAGGTCTTTCATCCTCCAAGCCCATTTTGGCTAATATGATAGCCACTAGCCCTATGTAGGTATCTAAATTTATATTTATTACAACTAAACACTGTGAAAATTTCAGACTTTCAGTCACACGAGCCATATTCCAAGTGCTCAATACCCTCCTGGGGCTAGTTGTCATATTGGACGATTGGACGATGGTCCTATAGAACATTTCTAAATGTTTGCTAAAAATTCTGTTGGACAGCCCTGCTTTTGAGGGCCAGCTTAGGCTTGTCCTTTTCATGGGGATGTCAGAGGCACAGGAGAACAAGAGGAAATACCTGTGTGCTTTCTCAAGCCTCTTCTTGGGTCATGTTTGCTAGTATCTCATGGACTACAGCAAGTCACATGGCCAACCCCAGGGCGAACAGGTGAAGCAGGTCACCCCATTCTTGGAGGCAACAGGCATTGGGTGCTGGCAAAGGGGATGAACTGGGACCAAACAATGCAATATACTACCTTGGGGGTCATGAAAGATGCCTAGAAGGTCTCTGGTGGGTGGGTTAAGCCATCTGTAGCTGATCCCAAGAC